TTTTGTCTCTTTTGGTCCTGCTGTATATATTCTTTTTTGATTAATATATCTCCTTCTATTAAAAAAAAAAGTACTTGCATTATCTGGATCTTTCTTGGACTCCAATTAAGAAATTACTAAATTCAATGTGCTGGTTGATTAATCTACAAATGTTGAAATTAAGTTGTTGGCATAACTTGACCAAGTTGCCACCAAATTTCTACATACAGAAAATGCCAAGATATATGGGAAAGTTAAATAAGCTCCAAACAATGAATCGATTTGCTGTGACCGAAAAAAGAGGATCAAATTTAAAAGAACTAGGTGCCCTAAAGCAATTTACATGTTCACTAACCATCTTAAATATGGGGTATATAAGTGAAGCTACGGATTTGAGAGAGGCCAATTTGAAAGAAAAGCAGTTGGATACATTGAAGTTACTGTATGAGCAGAATACATTGGAGTTGATATATGGGCAAGGTGCATTGAAGTATAAGTACAATCTTGAAGAGACACAACACCAAGAGCACGTATTGGAAGCACTTGAGCCAAATCGTAGTGTAAAAGAGCTTAGTGTTGAAGTATACATAGGTACTAAATTTTCAAAGTGGCTTGGTGATTCACATGTTTTACCCAACTTAGTGTCTTTATCTGTAGGCAGTTGCACCAACATTGTGAGCTTACTGCCATTTGGGCAACTACCTTCCCTCCAAAAACTCACGATTATCAAACTTGATGGAATAAAGGCTATGAGGAAAATGTTTTATGGGAATGACTCAATAATTGTTCCATTTCCTTCCCTTTCTTTTTTAAAATTTTATAGGATGAGAGAATGGGAAGAATGAGATATATTTTATGAAGGTGAAAGTTTCTAATCTTTTTCTATCCTTTAATCCCTAGGCCACTATTAAGTTACACATGCCATTTTGGGCAATAAGATATCATAGGGTTTTTAGCCAATTTTCTCCATCAAAATTAAATCTAGATCAATCACTAATCATGGCAATTAGACCCTTAATGGAAGCTTGAATTTAGCTTGGATTATTACTTGAACTTGGTTTGATTCTTTTCCTCTTCTTTTTCTTCTTTTATTGGCTGAAAATGAGGGCCTTGGGAGGGGGCATTTATAGATAATTTTTTGCCCTTAGTTTTCTCACTTTGCCTTTATGAAACATTAGAGTTCTAATGGCCATTTGTTCCCTTTATCAAGCCATTTTTTACATGATCATGCCAAGTATTTATCAAATTTGCTATGTGTTCCCTTGCATCATGTTCCTTACATAATCTCCTTTGCATCATTAGTTGAAGAAGAAAGAAGGGAAAAACTAAATTGAACCCATGAACACTTTTTCTTTTGGTTGTCTTTAGGATATTTAGTATATGATAGAAGACAATTATTTTAATCTTTTTTTTTTAATTATCTCCCTTAACAAATGGCGTAATTCCAACCCTATCCTTTTCCTCATAAAAATGGCACCAGAATGCTTGAAAAATGAGAGAAAAAAATTGTCCCACTAAGCTTTAGGTTATTTCACAGTTAATTTTATCGTATTTGTTAAAAATGTTTTTTTTGGATCCTATCTAGTCCAGTAGCTCTAAAAATTTATTTATCTATGCCAATAATTCTCTTTTATTGAGAGGGAATTCACTAATTTTTTTTTCAGGTCAAAATTTGACCTGTAACTCATTCTATTTAAATTTTTTTTAAAATAAGCCTTTTATCAATATAATTCAACTTTAAATATTTTTAAGGCTAATCTTCTTACCTTTAAGGGTTGAAAATAATTTTACAATCTTCAATAAACTCCCAATTAATTTTTTCTCATGTTTATTTCACGCTTGAGGCTTCTATTTATTTATAATAATTCGCGTCAACTAATTTTTTCTATTTAGCCTAAAATACCTATAATTATGAAAATTTCTCTGATAAGTAATTCTCATTATGTTTTTACCTTTTAGGCCTTAAATGCTGTTCTAAACACTTCTCTTTATTTTTCATAAAATTTTGAAAATTTTCAGGAATTTTAGCCATAATTTTCAATACTGCCATTTTTTGATTGAAACTTTTCAAAATGAGTTTCACTTTAAAAGTTATTCTATCTCTGTCTCTATTATTTTATTTGACCTACAGTTAGTTTTGAATTCCCATCCCGTAGGTTAAAATTTACAAGATGTGGTAGATTTCTTAGTGAGGTAATTTATTGCTTGTAAGCAAATATATACTTATTTAATAGGAAAAGTTGTTAAAAAAGACTGTTAAAATAGAAAAAGTGCACACAGGGACCTGTTTATAAAAATTATTGTCAAAACCCACTCTCATCTTGTTATGAGTCCCAATTTACAATTTTTCTGTTTCAGTTTTTTGTTGTTGCCATTTTTCCTATTTAATATGGCTTACGTATGTATTGGGGTACTACGTCATTAGACAAATTATAATTCTAACATTTTTTTGGGTACAAATAATGTTTTTTTTTACTAATAAAGTTTAGATGAGTTGGATCCTAGGAGCTCACTAAGGCTAGGGCATGTCTCCAAGCTCAAAGAATGCTTACAGAGGTACTTATAGATCGTCTACCAACAAGTCCTCACATCGGTAGCGAAATTCAAACTTACCACTTTATAGGTTATGGGCTAACTCTTTACCAACTAGACTAACTCTTGTTTGTAAATAATGTAAGAGTTCGTAACGAGAATACCTCTTTACATATTTTGGGCTTTAAAATTGGCTGCTGGGCTTGAATTAGTTCCAATTTCCAAAGGCCACATTTTATTGCCATGGCAATCGCAGTACCATGTTGGGGGTAACAGCAAGGTAGAATTATGGGGTATCTAGTAACCCTTAAAAGTACTTTTTAGAAGTATTTTTTATAAAACGAGATAAAGTTTTTTATATATTTACTCCGTAAACTGTAAAAGTATTTTTAAAACTATAGTTTGGTTTTCATCTAAACACTCCCATAATTCTATCTTGCTGTTATGTCAAGTCATGAATTCAAACATTACGGGTGAAAAATTTACGCTGCTCGAGTTTCTTCATTTGACATTATTTAAATTTGATTTGATAGTGATAGATAATATATATTCTTTCTGTCCTAGATATAAGACCTCTTTTATAGTGTAAATATAAAACTCATTTTGTAATATAATTTAAACTACAAAAGGAGTCTTATATTTAGGACCGGAAGAATATATATATAGCCATGAGAAAAGGAAAGGTAAAGTAATATTATTACAAACCAATCCTTCAAATAATTATACCAAGCAATATGGGAACGAATATGAACAGGGGAATTTTTCCAAACGTGCTTGAAAAATACTCTCTCCGTTCAAAATATTAGTTTCAAATGCTTAAATTACACAACTTAAAAAAATGGTTAAAATTGATTACATATAATAAATATGTAAAGAATGCAATTTATTTTTATTAAAACATCTCTAACTGTGGAGAGGGTGAGTGAAAAAAAGAATAAGTGAAAAAAAAAAAGATAAGAGAGAATAAGGTAAAAAAAAAAAAGACATATAATCAATTAAAGATAAAATCGAAACTTATAAACAACAAATCATACCCTTACAATGATTCAAAACTTATATTTTGAACTGGGGCAAGCAAGTAAAGATGAAGTGAAAAAGCCGCAGTTACAAGGAAAGAAGATGAAATGCATGTGCTGAAACGCACACATATATTTAATTTCTTTCATGAAACTAATTGTTTGATATTATTATTTTTTTTAATGCTTTTCATGGTCTTAATATAAGATCTAATCTATATTAAGCACTGTTTGTAGTATTATTTTTTATTATCATCATAACTATTTTACAAATTCCAATGAAGTTACCAAAGGCTTTTCGCCCCATTAATCACTGCAGTGGCTTGGGATAAAATAGCATTACTAGAATTAAAATTCTGTATCCTCGCTTGTGCTTCCTATCGTTTTTCAAAGTACAGACAAGAAAAGAAGAATTATTTGAGGTAGACAAAATACAAAAACAAGCACATTGAATTTGGGTAAGCAGTTCAAAATTGAAAAATGTAGCTGTGCAAGTTTTTGTTTCATTATGCTCTAGTTTTTCCAAGTTTATTAATTATTACTTTCATACAATTATTTACTATTAATTTTTTGGGTAAGTGGTTTAATATTTCTAATATAAAGGTGAAAATTAATGTATTAGCCTGATTAAAATATGAAAACACACACACACACACACACACACACACACACAATATTTTCCCTATTTGTTAACCATCTCTGTACGGCATTTTCTTAACTAGCTAGGGTGATTTTGCAGCTGCCGGCTTGCCATATGCCATCCTCCGACCTCCATGGAATTAGAACCATTTTTTAAAAAAGGATTTTGTGTTTTCGACCAAAAACAAAATTGCTAGTGGATATGCGATTAATTTACAAGAACTAAATAATCAGAAAAAAAAAACAGTGTTGGTGTATTATTAATTTAAAATATCACTTCTCAACAAATAATAAATAAATGCTTAAAATAACGTTGATTTCATATAATATACTCTTCCGGTCCTTAATATAAGACCTTATTGTTGAGTTTGTTTTGGTCCTAAATATAAGGCCAATTTATCATATTTATCAATTTTTTCTAAATTACCCCTATAAATACTCCATTAACTATAATCAAGTAGAAGAGTAAGATGGGGTATTAAGAAAGATGATTATGGTGTTTTAGGAAAAATGTGTCACTTTTCTTATAATTAACTAACTTTCTTAATCTAATCAAATTAATTAAATAATTCTTATATTAAGGAGCAGATGAATAGTTAAAAATCTGATCCTTGCAAAAAAAAAAAAAAACGACAATCACGTTGACTATTAATTATTGTTTGACCCTTTGACTGTCAAGCAGCACAATCCAAATAATTCGGCAAAAAGAAAAAAGGAACAAATAAAGAAAGAAAGAAACAACAATTCAAAGGAGAACATCATGCATACCTCACTCCTACTTGTCAACTCTCCTTCAATTGCCCAGAAATCTCAGATTTCCAGGTACCAAAATGCAAGAGGAATACGTTTTCGAACCAATTCAATATAGTTGTGCTCTCGTCAGTTCAATCATTTTGAATTTTCAGCAATCCCAGATTCCTATAAGAATGGCCACCGCCTGGAGTAAATCTCTTCGTATCACAGCATTCACCAGATTTCCGAGTCGGATCACGTACAGCAAAATCAAATGGCTGTTTCGATGGTGACGCGTGCCACAGCGGCTGTGAAAGTGGCGGCGATTTGTGGATCGCTTCGGAAAGGATCGTACAACAGAGGGCTCATTCGGTCTGGTATAATTTTACGGTTTCGCATTATTTTTGTTCGTCTTGATCTTTCTTCTCTGTTGGTCGTTGTGATTTATTGATTCGATTGATCTCAGCGATCGAGTTAAGCAAGGAAGCCATTGAAGGCGTTGAAATCGAAGAAGTTGAGATTGCTTCTCTGCCGATGCTCAACACCGATCTTGAAAAACAGGGGACATTCCCCGCCGAAGTCGAAGCTTTCCGCCGGAAAATTCTCAAAGCCGATAGCGTTCTGTTCGCTTCTCCGGAGTATAATTTCACTGTCACAGGTATGATCCTTCCTGACCATTTTTGACTTGAATCCATTTAGCTTTCCGGAATCTAAACTTCGGCAGTTTCATTTACATAGTATGAAATACACATCGCATAATTAGGGATTAAATAATTTTTTAATATAAAGAATTCAATAATTGGGCTATTATAAAGTAATGGATCGTTTCACTTTCATACTTGTTGGATTCAGATGAGCACCCGGTCCACTCTTCTACCGTCCAAATTAAATACTTGATATTAATTATTTTAAAATAATTTTTTTAAAAAAATAAAGTATGGATTGTACGGAAGTCATGCCAAATCCTATGCAATGGATGATGCATGAGAGCTTTCCCTCTCTAATTTGCCCTCTCGTTCTCTTTTTTTTTTGGGACTATCGCAGACCTTAAAGAATTAGTTGTAGTAATACCTTATTAATTAATATAAAAACACGTTTGACTTTTATTTGGTCTTAAATATAAGATTCCAATCTATTTTATCTCTCATATTTATTTATTTTTTATAAGATAGATTTTCTAATAATGATAGTTCTAACCAACAGACTTGATTAGTAAGAATATTTAGGAAAGACAATATATATTTATTATAAATAACTAACTTAACTTTTCTTTTAATTTATTCAAATTAATTAATTAGTTCTTATTTTAAAACCGGGGTAGTAGTATCAATTAATTACCAACAGGGTTAGGTATTGTGAAAGGAGCTAATTTCTCATGCCATGGTGAATTAAAGTTTGAATTATCATTGGGAGATATATCTATATTTTTTTTTTTGCCAACAGGGAGATATATATATTTAGTACATGATAATGTCTCAAATAAATTGCTTCTAATAGAAGAACAGAGACACGTGTAGTTAAAAAAAAAAAGAATTATATGTAAGATTTCTGGATGTATTATTAATATTATTGTGACGTACAGCACCTTTGAAGAACGCAATAGACTGGGCATCAAGGTCACCCAATATGTGGGGAGGTAAAGCAGCGGCCATTGTAAGTGCAGGAGGGCAGCTCGGAGGAGCAACAGCACAGTATCATCTTCGCCAAATAGGAATATGCATTGATCTTCACTTCATCAACAAGCCTTTCTTCTTCCTCAATGCCTTTCAGCCTCCTCCCAAGTTCAATTCTGAGAATGGGGACTTAATTGATGAGGATGCCAAGCTCAGATTGAAAGATATCCTTCTCTCCTTGAAATCTTTCTCCCTCCAACTTCATCAAAACAAGTGATGAATTCGACTTAAATGCACCAAATAGTTTGAGTTTATCCTTCATTACCTATTCATTTCTTTAGTTAAACTACATTATATTGCTTGTTATATATTCCATATTTTAGATTAATCGTTGTTTATTATGGGAGTATTATGGCCAGAATAGTAATTCTCAAATTTATTCAAGCTAAATAAACGGTGTCTTAATTAATAATTTTGCCCCTGTAATTAGTGGATTAATAAAGGCATAAAGACACAAAAATACTCCCTAAATTTGCTAAGCCTAATTCAAGGTCTCAAAATGGTTTGGTTATTGTGAATCTTCTAAAAACTAGTTTGGGATTATAGTTTCGTACTAAAATTAACTAAATATCCTTAATTTTAAAAAAAGGCAAAATAACAATAATAACAGTTTAATAAAAAAAATAAACAATAACAGTTTAACAAGTGACAGTTTTAATTTATCAAATGATAACAACATTTAAGAAAGTGGCAACTATTTCTGTAAAAATTTCCTATTGAATATCAATAACAACGCTTCAATAAATACTTTTTATGTTCAAAATATAATCAAATTTTAACTACCTTAACAAAACTGAAGAAGAGTGGTTAAGTCATTATTTAGTCTCAAATTAATCTTTTTAAAATTTGTTTGGTTGTTCCTATATTCAAATATGTCTCACCTCACTAGGACCTGTTTGTGATGGTGTTTAAAAATATTCATAAGCACATTTTATATAAGTCGAGACAAAACTCTTTTTATATATTTTGTATTTTGTAAATCATAATTAAAAAATTATTTATAAACTATTTTAAATAGACCCTAGGTAAATTATATTATAAACATAGTTTCTTATAAAAGGTACAGTGAGTTTTAGATTTAGTAACAACTTTAACTTATCAAATGACAACAACAGATAAAAAAGCAATAATTAATAATTAAATCACTTATAAGTCATTTCAGAACTAAAAAAAACTTAATATCATATTTTGAGAGTCTTATACTTTAATACTCCTCCGGTCCTTATTATAAGACCCAATTTGATTTTTTATTTGGTCCTAATTATAAGACCCAATCCATTTTCTCTCTTATATTTATGCATTTTTTTCCAAGATAATCCTTCTAATAATGATAGTTTTTAGCCAATATACTTAATTAGCAAGGTATTTTAGGAATAACAACACTTATTTATTATAAATAACCAACTTAACTTACTTCCTTAATCTCCTCAAATAAGTCAATTGGGTCTTATAATTAGGACCGGAGGAGTAATATATATCTCTCTCTTATTAAATAGAAAAAGATAAATCATCATTCTATAAAAGTAAAATGTAGTCCCAGTGGTTTTTCAAATTAGGACAGAGAAGTAATGAGAGAATAGGTGGCGGAACAAGGACAGTTGCCTTGTTTATATGTTTTTTTGCCTTGTCTTCAAGTTGAAGCATTAATGGAGGGAGTGGAGTAAATAAGGATAGATAGCATTAGACAAAAACCATAATTATTAGTGTGACAGAAGCAACCTCACCAATGTGGGAGGCCACATCCTAATGTTGTTAACATCAAACATTAGTTTGGGAGTTCAATCGGTCCAGTGCCATCCCTATCACCCTACTCTTTGCCTCAATGCATTCTCCTTTTATAATCTTAAAACATATGCCCCTTTTATCTTGTTTTAAGCACATGTATTTTCTTATTAAAAATTCTGTTTAAAATACTATCCAACACTAAATGTAAACACTTCTCTTATTTGAAATTCAAAACTTGATTTATAAAGACTAATCCGTTCCACTAAAGTACTAACCCTTTATGTTTTTCCCTCGCAAATATGAAGTTAGTTGACAGTATTTGGAATGAATGAATACCCACTTTATAATTTACTGACATTTCGACTGACAGTTTATAAAATGTTAATGTTAATGTTAACCCATTGGTGAAGGAAGGCAGTATTCGATCCAAGGATTGAAAGACAAACTAAAAATCAGGAGTATTGAATGCTAAGAATAGGACAGACAGCTTCCCACATCATTCATGCCCCTCGTTCATTCTTCAACGTTGCTCATTTCTGCTTCTTCCAGTTGTCTGGTCTGCTATTGCTTTGAGGAGCCAAATTCGGAATCAGTAGGATGTTGAATCTCTTTGGTCCATACTCAGCTGCACAAAACAAATAAAAATAATAATAATAATTATGTAATGGAATAAATAAAAAAAATGTGAGGGGAAAAAAATGAATTTTCTATCATGATAGGAAATAACATCTAAAAACTAGCAACCATTTTCCGATCAACTTGTTTTTTCGTCGCCCAATGTAATAGACTAACAGCAGCGTTTCCTTTGAAAATCTGAACAAAACCGATCCTGCCGAAGCAGTAACGGAATTCAGTGGATTTTTCCTCTTGTAATTCTAGACATTGAGTTTGGAAATGGATTCAAAATCCCTCCTTTTTTCTTTCTTCTGTGTCATGTTACAGAGATGGTTACATAGACGCCACATCTAAAGCACGAACCTTGCAGATATATCTCATCTGGGTATTGATGGATGAAGGCGAATAATAGGCTATAAGAAGATTGAGCCAAGAACTGGACGGCATTGGCAAGGCTTGGGAAGCAACAGTTAACAAACAGAGTGTTCGGTTAGGGAGAGAGGGAATAACGTAATAGCGCCAATGTCTGCGGATAATGGCGATGAAGATCATCGGCCGGGAGAAATCCATCACGTCGAGAAGATTCTCTCCAATGGCGATTTCTATACTGGCCAATGGTGCGATCATCTTCCTCAAGGTCAAGGAAAGTACTTGTGGATTGACGGGTGTATGTATGTGGGTGAGTGGGAAAAAGGCAAAACCAACGGTAATGGAATGTTCAGTTGGCCAAGCGGGGCCACATACGAAGGTGAATTCAAAAATGGGTATATGGATGGTGTAGGTACTTACATAGGTTCATCTGGAGATACCTATAGAGGTTCTTGGGTGATGAACATGAAACATGGGAAAGGGACAAAAAGCTACCCAAATGGTGACTGCTATGATGGAGAATGGAGGAAGGAGTTTCAGGATGGTCATGGGAGGTATCAATGGAGGAAAGGTAATTATTATATAGGACAATGGAAAAATGGGAAGTTCAATGGGAATGGTTCAATGATGTGGACAGATGGGAATAGGTATGATGGTTGCTGGGAAGATGGTTTGCCTAAAGGGAATGGAACATTCAGATGGGCTGATGGGAGTTTCTATGTTGGGGTTTGGAGTAAAGATTCAAGGGAGCAAAGTGGGACTTATTACCCTGCGGGTTCTACTTCTTCTGGTCATAAAGATTGGGATCCTCAAGAGGTGTTTTCTGCTGTTTTGAATGATTGTGTAGTGTACCCATGTGAGGATGTACCAATTTATCCTTCAGAGAAGAGGCTAAACTTGCCTGAGATGATGGCTATGTTGCAGTCAGTTTCCAAGAAGGGAAATGATGGTGGGAGGACTAGGTGGATGTCTGCGGATGCAAGGCTTAGTAGTTATGGTAGTGAAGAATTCCGTCGTAATTCTGATGTAGATAGGAGATCAAGTCATGGGTTTGAAAGTACAGGGACTTTTCAGTTTGAAGATTCTGTTTCAAGAGGAAATAAACCGCCACATTTAAGAATAAAGCCTGCCAAGAGACAGGGGGTGACCATATCCAAAGGGCATAAGAACTATGACCTCATGCTTAATCTGCAGTTAGGAATCAGGTACTGATGATAGCTTTTGATTCCTGTATTTTTATACGGCATTTTAGGTTCAGCTAAACTTTCAATCTTCATCTTTTCTCATAACTTTTGGTACAACAACATGGTGTGATTTAAATGAATCTTTCCTCGTATGATTCTGGTATTCACTACAAGGTTATTAATCTTTTGCGCCATAGCACAGACATGCTGTAGGAAGACCTGCTCCAAGTGCATCCCTTGATTTGAAGCCTTCCGCATTTGATCCCAATGAAAAAGTGTGGACCAAGTTTCCACCAGAAGGATCGAAGCACACACCACCTCACTCATCTTGTGAGTTTAGATGGAAAGATTACTGCCCAGTAGTGTTCAGGTCAGGCTTCAGACATAAAATGTTCAGGTTGAATAGACTTTATTTTACGCAGAAAACGTGTTAGTTAGGTGAACTGTTTCTTTTGCAGTATAAACTGCTGAGTGCTAACTTGTTGAGAATGCTCTTGAAAATGTATAACCTTTTATCTGGAGGCACAAAGAGGTTGGTGATATGCTCTTGAGAGGAATATGGCTGTACTACAAATGCTGGGAATACGTGGAAACACTCCTAGCTATATTGTTTCATAGTCGCCATATTAGCATTACTTCTAGCGTTTAACTTTGTCAGAATAACCTTTTTTTTTTTTCCCTGTAAATATGTGAAAATGGTTCATTGCTTTTTATATTTTCAGGGCTCTTAGAAAATTGTTCAAAGTAGATCCAGCTGATTACATGTTATCCATATGTGGGAATGATGCCCTTCGGGAGCTCTCATCCCCTGGAAAAAGTGGAAGCTTTTTCTATTTGACCCATGATGACCGATACATGATAAAGACAATGAAGAAGTCTGAAGGGAAAGTGAGTTACCTTGAAATTCGCTGGATCTGATATAAGCCACGAGTTCTTTGAATTTCTGCAACAATCTATAAATATAATCATTACCATGGCCATCAAGAATTATGAAGTTTCGCTACTTATGTTGCATGTATCTAAATTCATAGAATCAATGCCAAGACATTGAAGGTCAATACATATTGGCTACATTTTGTGAACTTGGCTATCCTTTTGTTTGTAAACTACTTTAAAAGCTACTTCAAATTTATTAATGGTTGCCATCACACCTATCTTTGATGTGATTCTATTGTTGCCTGAATTGCAAGGTTATTTATTTGCTAGATAAAACTCAACTTTATAATGTGACTGTAGGTCCTCTTGCGTATGCTTCCTGCATATTACAATCATGTTCGAGCTTTCGAAAATACTCTAGTGACCAAGTTCTATGGTCTTCATTGTGTTAAACTAACAGGTGCACAGAAGAAGGTAATTCATAGGTGTGAAAAAACTTGTACTTCAAATTAAACTTTTACTTTTTAATGCATTATAAATTTCAGGTACGATTTGTCATCATGGGAAATCTATTCTGTTCCGAATATGCCATTCATAGGCGCTTTGACTTAAAGGGCTCTACCTTTGGTCGTACAACCGATAAACCTGAGGCAGAAATAGATGCAACGACCACCCTTAAAGACCTTGACCTAAATTATCTTTTCCGGTTGCAGAAGGACTGGTTTGAGGAATTTTGCTCGTAATTTTCTTGCCTACTACTTTGGTTCCTTCTTTTTTGTTTGTTTGTGTGCATGAGCATGCGTGCATGAGTATTATGTGCTATGGATCATGATGGTATTGTTTGTCTCATACTTATTAGCTGCTTATGGGTAACAATTTAGTCTTTTGAAGCCAAACTTTAATGACAATGGTAAGGAGATCAGTGGTCTACAAATAACGGATTGACTATAAATTGTAGCCCACACAAAAAGTCCTCTATTCGTTTCTTTAAATTTAAGATGAAAGGATCATGCCCATTACCTGTCATATGCTGAAATGGTGGCACTGTTGCATAAACTTTTCACTCTTACATTTGTGCACTTAACATGGTGTCACCGACTTGAAATATATGGAATCTTTGGAAGGTAGATTGTTTTATTATCTCAGCATGCCTTCATGCAGGCAAGTGGATAGGGACTGTGACTTACTTGAACAGGAAAGGATAATGGATTATAGTATGTTGGTTGGTCTTCACTTCCAAGAAAAGCAAACTAATAAAGATTCTCTTACGCCTACTCGTACTTCGGGAGGTTTCACTCCTAAAGGTTATAATTTGTAACCCCCCCCCCCCTTTTTAAAGTTATGTTTAATATGAATCTTTGCTAAATATATGAACATATCTTGCGGCAGATGGACACTTTGACAATGGTGGAACTCCTCGCCTTTCAATAGCAGATAGGGATAAGCTTCTCATTAGTCCTAGTCGGTATGGTCATTCTACAAATGCTGCTAGAAGTTCAAGTTATTTAATAACTTTAATTTTGATGGCTAAAGTGTTGAGTCAAATCATCAGGAACCTAACCAGGCCTACTATTGTTTATTAGTTACTTTTCTATTTTAAGGAGGAAAAAAATTCTACAGTTTCTTAGCTCGTTGCTGTGAGCTTTTTTTAATCCGTTAATAAAATTATTACCAGCAGAATAACTTTTACAAGGAGTCACCGTTGTGATGTTGAGAATGTACGTATGTTACATGTTTACTTTGTTTAGTCGTGCTTTCTTTCTTCTTCTTCTTCCCCCCCCCCCCCCCCAAAAAAAAAACCTCAACCAACCTCAGTAACTATACTAAACTTTGCTCTTTTACTAATTCTAATTCAACAAGCACATGTTAGCCCTGTTCAGCTAAGAAAGATGTAACTGTCTAATTTCCACCTATTTTTGCTTTGCTTCTTCTGAAATTAATGTTGATACTTCATCTGTTCTTCACCTCTTCTTAATTTTTCCATAGGTCCGCGTAAATTCAGGTCTTTCATTGTCTTATTTAGACTTCTCACTATCATTCGTTGATTCTCTACAGCCAAGAATTTTTCTTTTTCCTCTAATTGTAAAGCAGTGATTCTGATAAGGAAGAAACTTAGTCGCATACTGCCATTATTAGGTTTTTACGATCAGGTTCACCTATAAGATTATAACCTGTGGAAGAGCTTTATTGGGGAAGTTGATAGGAAATACTGAAGAAGTTGATTTAATCATGTCCTGATAATCAATGGCAATAACATTTTTTCATAAAATAAGCATTGTATTTCCTGTTGTAGGTTGCCGTCCATTCAACTAGGTATAAACATGCCAGCAAGGGCTGAACGGACTGTGAGAAGAAATGAGGGTGAAACTCCTCAGCTGGTTGGAGAACCAACAGGGGAAATATATGAAATTATAATCTTTTTTGGCATCATAGACATATTACAAGACTATGATATCAGTAAAAAGCTTGAGCATGCTTACAAAGCAATGCAGTATGATGCCACTACAATCTCTGCTGTTGATCCTGGGCTATACTCGAAACGCTTTCGTGATTTCATCTTCAAAGTTTTGTTGAAGACACTTAAAAAGTTAAAGTTTTGATACTAAACATTCAACTTACAGCCAGAGGCCATCAGAGCGAGGCATTTACGGCAATGAGTTCACTAATTAGCTCATTCATTCCCATTTTGGCCCCAGCTATGCTGATTTTGGGGGTGTTTTATGAGTGCCAGAGGATATAGACCACATCTGAATGGACAAAACTTAGGTCTAATTATTTTCAGCAGTTGCACCAGGTTCTTTAACAGAAACATAAGAAATGAAGGAGATTTTCTAAAATAATATATGATGAGGAGAAGTTTTTTGTTCACTATATGCATGTGCATGCAATGGTCCAAATTTAGCCTAAAAATTGGATCCTGCGTCACATTTTGCAGACTCAATCTGAGTTTTCGCATGTACATACATGTAGTAAAGATAAACAAGAATTTATCCAATGTTAGAAAACATCATAGCAAATGCTGGAGAAAAGCACTTAGATTTTTTTTTTTTTTTGCGCGTGAAATTTGTGCATTCCCTCTCATCATCACATGTTTCACATTTGTGAAAGTCATCATAATCATAGGGACAGGAAAAATGTTTGTTGTATTTAATGTCGTTGAGAGAGCCACCCTACCATTTCGCAATTTGTAAATGAATACACCCTAGAAGGGTCAAAGCAGAATTAGAAATCATTCTTTTTAGCGGCCATTTGTTCCCAGGGGAGCCTCGGGTTTTGGCACTGAATAAAATTGTACAGAAGGAAGGTGATGAAGAGATGGTTAGTTTGTATGTATAGAATATTTAGATCAATCATTTTATATCACTTGGAACAGGATTTGGTGTATTCGCATTTTTCATTCAGTAAAATAGCTTATTCTTTTCTCTAGTGATGCCTCCTCTTTTACGTTATGGTTTAGTCTCTATTTGTTTATGAACGGGGAGGCTTGAAGAACTTTTGTAATGACTGGAGTTAGTGGAACTGAACAATGTTTTTTTTTTCCTATATAAATTACACGGACATTCTTCTGAATTTTATTGGGATTCTATAAACATTTTGTGTTTAAAATATAGAGATCTCTCTTGAAACAGAATGTTATCTTTTCCTCTGGTCAATTTTATAATTTTTTAGCTGAAGTATTCTCAGCTTAAATGCATAATTTTAAGACTAAAAAGAATTAACCGAAGGGTATTTTGGTGAATAATTTAAACTTAGACAGAAATGCGAAATAGTTTTTACCTTTAATGAAAATGTTTCTGAATATTTTAAAAACATGATACAGATTAATGTAATTTAATGCAATTCAAATAAAGAAAACATTTATTTTTGAGAAAATTGCGCTATTTCATTGGACTAATCCTAAGATAAAGCAATTAAAAACCCAATCAATGTCAACAATGTAAATACACTGTAGTAGTTTGATTATGTCTGAAGTGCTTTTAGCAATCTGCAAATTACTGCCTTCAAAAGTGCTTGAAATTTGCAACGTGCAATGTTTTTCAGCCAATTGCAATAGAAAATATTAAGACTTGTATCAACAGGCAAAAGAGAGTAGTAACGTCCATTTCCAATTGTTATGCTAAACAATTTATTCTTGAATATTGTTTGAGAGGACCATTTTGGGGTGGAATGGAACCACATTCAAGAAGTTTGGAATGGAACCACATTCAAGAAGACCCACTTGAGTCTGCCAGGATCATTATTATCACGAGTACAGGAATGCAAAAAACGAAACATGACCTATATCACAACTAGAGCACACTTATTATTAACCAAGGTGTACAATATTCACAAGCCATAACATGACAGTAAAGGAAGCCATTAAGATCGGTCTTTTTCCATATGGCATTGAGGCACCAGCTTGAATGGATGCATAAGAATGAGATTATGTTCTTGTTTTGAGAGTTCTCCAGCTATGATCCCCAGTAAGAAACTACTCCCTCATCAGAATACCTCAAAAGTTTTGCTGGGATTTGTAAATCTCGTGATCGGAGGTGGCAGAAGTTACCGGACACAACCTAACAGAAAAGGAGTATGGTATGGCAGGAACAAAGTATTGCTCGTGTACACATGGGGACCAGCTATCATCTCCACCCAAACCCATGTGCTTGTGGTCAAGATGAACCTGAAATATCATAAAACGAGACAACTTGAACAGATAACACAACTTACAAATGGGAAAGTAATTACGAAAGCAGAGATGCTGATGCAAGCAGATTACCTCAATGTTATCTCCTTCAACGAGTTCTTCATTGTGTGTTGCCGGTCAAGCTCAGAAGTGCTATAATAGCTTGCACTCATTTGCATGGGTGGAGAGCCCCCATA